GTATCGACAAATTTCGATACCTGGCCCTTGATTCAAGTCGGATCTTCGGTGACAATAGCTGTGTTTTAAGGTCAGGTCAGGTAACTCAACACTCACCGGTCACCTATGTCATAAGTGAGCCTCTGTACGGTCGTTAACCCTCGCCGGACCTATTGGTTTTCTAAATTTCTACATACGCGCCGGCCGAGGGGGGGGGGGCGGGTACGACCCCCTCGCCGTTTCGCCCCTGGTGGAGCTAGCGCGTCGCGGAAAAAACGAGCGTGTGCGCCGTTACGAGACACAGAGATTGGTACCCGATTTTAAGGTCCTAGGTTAACCGGTGACCTCTGAGGTCAGGTCAAGTGCCCCGGGATACGGTTCAGTTTTTGGTGAATAACTTCACAAAAAACGGCCGCAGAGCCTTGATTGTGGCAGCATCGTGTTCGCCTCGCTCAGGCGCGTCGAATGATATACGTTTTGTTCGGGTCAGGTCAACTTGGGGTGTTGACCTCAGGTCAAGGTCAGGTCAGCACCCCCAGGTCACGAAGTTGGTCGAAAGAGGTCATGTCGCATATCATTCGATTAGGCAGGTCTTCCTGAGTCTATTGGTGGCTTTCTCGACTCGCTAGCTCAATTTGATCGGGAGTTATTGACGAAAAACTAATATGACCTTGATGACGTCATACATGACGTCACGCAAGTTCAACATTGCAAAAGTGACGCATCTAACCACCTTGCAAGGAGTGCATCAAATTACGATTCTGTGTGCTTGAGATAGTTGGAGATCGTTCCCGGCGCCAGAATAGCAGTTTTCATTTTCCCCATTGACTTATAATGGTGAGGTCACGAAAATGACCTGACCTCATATGACCTTTAGGAAAAATCCGAGATATACAAGTTGTGAGACTCATAATGGATACTAGATCCTGCAGGTTTCATTTCCCTGTGACATCTCCTCTGGCAGTGAGGGCGTTGCGAAGTTGCGACATCTGAAGACCGTGCAGAGGTTCACTTATGACGTCATAGGTCAGTGACCTGACCTGACCCAAAAATGAGGTTGGTGTCAAAAGATGCGGCTTGGATCAAAGGTTAGGTATGCCAAGTTTCAGCTCTCTATCGCCAGCTTGTTCGGAGCTATCGCGAAAAAAAAAACCCTATGGGGGGGGGCGGCACCCGCCCCCCCCCTCGGCCGGCGAGGGTTAACCCTCGCCCGTATTGGTGTTTTTCCAGCCGCGAACGTTTAAGTCACCGTGGTATAAGGGGGGGGGGTCCGTTGGACCCCCTTGCCGTTTCGCCCCTGATCGAGCTAGAGCTTCGCGGAAAAAACGAGCGTGTTGCCCGTGACGAGAGGGAGCCGATGATACCCAATTTTAAGGTCCTAGGTCATTGGTTGACCTTGCAGGTCAGGTCAATGACCCAAAAGTCGGGAAAATCGGGACCTGTTGGCTGTTAGAACGTCGTTAAGTGTGGCTGCTATGGGTTTTTTTCGGGGTGCTGGTCACGAATATCATGTTAGTTTTGATCACAGATGATGTCTTCATGCATTTAGTCCAAGTCGGGTCAGGTCAGGTCAGGTCAACCAGTAGGGGTCCTACCGGGTAGGTATTCCTAGTAGGTGTCAACCGCCTCTGACAGCTTCGTAACATGTTACGAAGGCACCAAAACTACTTCATAAATGCTCATATGGTTGCTAAATTCGAATTCAGCTCCAAAAACTGGCCTAGAAACATGTAAAACTCGAAAAAGTGAACCGAGGTCATCAAAGGTCAATGACCGGACCTGACCTTCAGGTGACCTTGACACCCACCCTAATGCATGGGGGCAACACCATATCACATGTTTGAACGCTTGAAATCACGAAAAGACTGCAAACGCGCCGCTAATGCGAGCCGACATACGCCGAATCGCGATTCTGGCCAAACATGGTCTCGAAAAGTAGGTCACAGGTCAAAGGTCATTTGGGTCAGGGTCATGAAATTTTCAGGGTAGGTGTAAAATTAAATAACGCGAGGGTACTGAAAGTTTCGTCGCGATCGGCCGCTTTTTACGCGAGTTATACGCGAAAAACCATGTGGGGGGGGGGGTCCGTTCGACCCCCCCCCCCGCCTATACGGGCGAGGGTTAACCTGACCTGAAAGGTCACAGCTTGTCCTGAGACCTCAAATTCGGGCACCCTTCAGTCACGGCGACCTCAGTAACGGTGCACACGCTCATTTTTTTCCGCGAGGCTCCTAACTATAGGTCATTTAGGGGCGAACCGGCGAGGAGCTTCCATCCTCTTGCCTTCCCCAATCCCAAGTAGGCATGCAAAAACCAATAGGACGTGCGTTTTACCACCGTTTTACTACACAATCCGAAATTTTCCCTATTTTCTTAGCCGATTATCTTGCTTATCACGTCAAATAGTTAAAACGATTCCCAAATGCTGTACAAGTACAACGATGTGCTGTTTTAGAGTCATATTTTTCCCAGGTTTATGTTTGTAGATATAAAACTTTATCGGAATTCACTGGGATTGTATTGCGTATTCAAGTCCAAATATTTCGGCCAATATTGTTTGGCCTTGGTCACTGGACAACTACAATAACCCTATGTAGGGTTATTGTAGTTGTCCAGTGACAAGGCCAAACAATATTGGCCGAAATATTTGGACTTGCATACGCAATACAATCCCAGTGAATTCCGATAAAGTTTTATATCTACAAAGTACATAGGCGGCGGAACGATTTGAGACAAGGGGGGGCACCATGTCTCAAGGAGCCAAACCTAGGGTACCCCCAAATCCTGTTTTCTCATCGGATTTAGGCCACTTATTTTTCGTCACAGCCCTGACACGATGATTTTATCTACTTTTTTTTACTAAACGAAAACGGCAGTTCACCCCCGTATGCAGGGGTGTAATTTTATATCTCTTTGTGGGGGCATATGCACCCACAATCCTGAATTATGCCCCCACAATGATGAAAATGCACCCACAAGTCTCTTACAAGGCTGCAAGCGTCCTTTCGAGAGCACGGTGCCCTTCGCATGCTCTAACGGCGTCCTCCTGACCGTCTCGCGTTCTTGGATAATATAGCGTTTTTAATCACTCGGCGCCCTTCTGGGAGAATGGCGCACTTTTGACAGCACCGCGCCATTCTCATGGTCTAACGGCGCCCTCCTGACCGTCTCGCGTCCTTAGGTTTCTGTTCACCGTGCATCCCTCGACTGTTCGGCGCCCTTCTGGCCTCTCAGCGCCCCTGAACCACATAGCGTTTTCAATCGCTCGGCGCCCTTTTACGAGAATGGCGCCCTTTTCATGATCTCATGGCGCCCTCGTAACCATCTGGCGCCCCCACGTCCCCACCAACGTAGCACTACTGACTGTGCGGCGCCCTTCTGGCCTCTTAGCGCCCCTGGACCTCATAGCGTTTTCAATCACTCGGCGCCCTCCTAAGAGAATGACGCCCTTTTCATCGTCTCACGGCGCCCTCGGAAACGTCTGGCGCCTCCACATTTGGTGCCCCTCCTACTGGATGGCGCCTCTCTACATCTTTTTTTTTACGTCCTTCCGGTCAGTTTCCACTTTTAAGCGTGTATTTGTTTAGTCAGACACGTCACTTGAAGCGCCCTTCGGCTAGCAATGTTATCAAATTCGGTGTTAATTTAGGCTCCCACATGAAGAATATCCATCGCGTCCCAAACCGGCCTGGCGCCGGGCGCCCCTACAGCTGGGCACCCACAATCATTTTAGGAAAATTACACCCTTGCTATGTGTGGTTAACTTTAAGCTGATCCTCCTCAAGTACCTATGTGTTTGTCTCTTCCTTATTGTCGTTTGATAAATTCCATTTATCCTACATGTATCAAATTCCCAAGAAGCCATCGCAGTACTAATCAGTGGCGAATCCCAGGGGGGAGGTCACATGGGTCATGACTTAGGGCCTGGGGTCACCACATGCCTGCCAGGAGCACCACAGGCCTGACAGCCGAAAGGGGAACCACAGGCCCGCCAGGGGTACCACAGGCCTAGCAGGGGCACCACGGGCCTTTCAGTGGCACCACAGGCCTGTCAGGAGCACCATCGGCCTAGCAAAAGCACTACAGGTCTTCCAGGGGCACCACAGACCTGCCAGTGGCACCAGAGGCCTGCCAGGGGCACTATCTGCTTCGCAGGGGAACCACCGGCCTCGCAAGGGCACCATGGGCCTGTCAAGGGCACCACAAGCCTGTCGCTGGCACTTTAGGATTGTCAGGGGCACCACAAACCTGTCAAGGGCACCTGCGTTCTAACAAGGGCACCACGGGCTCGCCAGGGGCACCACAGACCTGCCAAGGCCCAGGGACACCACAGGCCTAGCAAGGACACCACAGGCCTAGCAAGGACACCACAGGCCTGTCAGGGGCACCACGGGCCTGTCAGGGCCCATGGGCACCTAAGTCATGTCAGGGCCCACCGTAGGCTTGTCAGGGGGCAGGGTAGGTAGGTACCACAGTCTTTCCAGGGGCACCAGCGGCCTAGCAGGGGCACCAGTCATCACACGACTAACCAAAAATAAAGAAAATAAAAAATGAAAATAGGGCACCACCAAAATTAAGTGGCCGAAATCCGTTGAGGTTTTAATTTTGGGTATAGGTAGGGGCACCACTTCGATTCATGACCCTCCCCTTGGAGTTTTCCCGAATCCGCCCCTGGTACTAATACATCAAATTTAAGGGGGGGCACCTTGCTATTGGTGCCCCCCTTGCAGAATTCAAGGGGGGGCACGGTGCCCCGGTGCCCCCCCTGTGGTGTCGCGAGCTGCTCCCCCCCCTGCCCCGGGGCCTGGCGACGCCAGTTGCTCCCCCCTGCCCGGGGGCCTGGCGACGCCATTGGCGGCGCCGGCGCGCAGACGCGGGGTTCGTGAGCAGTCGGCCGCCGGCCCGCGCGGAGCGCGGTTGTGGTAGTAGCGATCGGTGTTTGGCGCTCTAGGAGGTTTAACGCAATGCGGCTTTGGTTGTGAATAAAGAGCTCACGCTATAACATCCTGGCGACGCGACGGTCAGGGTGAACGGCCAGGAGTTCACCATGCTGATCGACACTGGCTCACCGGTGACTATAATCAGCGCGGAGACTCACATCCCCGGTCTGACGCTGCGGCCGAGTGAGCTGCACCTCACGTCATTCACCGGCCAGCAAATCCGTCTGCGAGGCGAGGCCGACGTCAACGTGGAGACGGACGGCCGAGCGACACGGCTGCGACTCGTCGTGTCCGACATGGGCTCTCACCGACCTCTCATGGGACGAGAGTGGATCAAGGCGCTGAGGACGGCGTCGGGTCTGGAGACGCTGAACGTGTGCCCGGTGGCGACTCAGCCGACGCTGAAGGAGGTGATGGACAAACACCGTGAGGTGTTCAAAGAAGAACTGGGCAGAATCCCGGTGAAGGTGGCGCTCAGACTGAAGGAAGGCGCCAAACCGGTCTATCGACGCGCCAGACCGGTGCCGTTTGCGCTACAGCAAGATATCGAGCGGGAGCTCGACAAGTGGCTGGATCAAGGGATCGCCGAGAAGGTGCCTCCTGGACACTTCTCCGGATGGGGTACGCCGCTCGTACCCATCCCCAAGAAGGACGGCGTGCGGCTGTGCGCGGACTATCGGATCACGGTGAACCCGCAGCTGCAGCCTCTGAAGTATCCGATGCGCACGCCGGAGGAGCTATTCGCCAGCATACGAGGGAAAAAGTTCTGCAAGCTGGACTGCAGGAACGCCTATCTCCAGTGTGAGCTGGACGAAGAGAGCCGAGAGATGACCACCGTGACCACACACCGTGGTGCGATGCGGATGAACCGTCTCCCGTACGGGATCAGCACCTGTGGAGCGCAGTTCCAGGCGATCATGGACCAGGTGCTGGATGGTCTTCCAGGAGTCGTCTGTTACCTGGACGACGTGCTGATCGGCGCCGACAGTGACCGTGAGCTGATGGACAGGCTGGACCGGGTGCTGGAGCGGCTGAAGGACAACGGCGTCCGCCTCAAGAAAGAGAAGTGCCAGTTCGGAGTCCGAGAAGTGGTGTATCTCGGTTGGCGACTGTCTGAGGCGGGTCTGCGCCCGGTGCAAGAGAAGACGGCGGCCGTCACAGCAGCACCTGACCCTCGGAACGTGCAGGAGCTGCGATCTCTGATCGGGTCAGTCAGCTATTATCAGCGGCTGCTGCCCAACCTGTCTACCGTGCTAGCGCCGCTCTACGCGCTACTGAAGACGGGCGTCAAATGGGCATGGACGGCGGAGTGCGCCGCGGCAGTGCGCCGTGTGAAGGACATGCTGTCCACGGCGCCGGTCCTGATGCGGTACGACCCCGTGCTGCCGCTGCGGCTCGTCACGGACGCCAGTGCGACAGGAGTCGGAGCGGCTCTGATGCAAGTGACGCCCGAGGGGCTCGAGAGGCCGGTACAGTACGCCTCCCGAACGCTCACTCCGACGGAGAGGAAGTACGCCCAAGTGGAGAGGGAAGCCGCAGCCGTCTCGTTCGGAGTGCGGCGGTTCCACCAGTTCCTGTTTGGTCGGCCGTTCACCCTGGTGGTCGACAACAGGACGCTCTCCAGGATCCTAAACCCGGACCGTGAGCTGCCATCTCTGGCGGCGGCTCGCATGCAAAGGTATGCGCTGCAGCTCGCGGCGTATCAGTACAAGATCGAGCTGCGCCGGACGGAGGACATGAGGCTGGCGGACACGATGTCCCGTCTGTCGGTGCCGGACGAGGCGGAGAACCGGCTGTCGGCAGAAGAGGAGGCGGCGTACGGCGGAGGCGGCGTAATGTTCATCGCCGAGCAGGGGCCGTGTCTGACCGCGCAGCAGATAGCAGTGGCCACGCGCCGAGACCCGGCGCTCGCCCGCGCTCTGGCGGCGGTGCGATCGGGCTGGCCGGCGGTGGTGGACCCGGACCTGGCTCCCTTCAAGAATCGCCGAGAGGAGCTGACGACTGAGGCCGACTGTCTGCTCTGGGGCGGCCGAGTCGTCATCCCGAGCAACCTGCGCGACACCGTCAAGCGGGAGCTGCATGAGGGTCACTTCGGCTGCACTCGCATGAAGCAGCTGGCGAGGCGCTTTGTGTGGTGGCCGGGACTCGATGCTGAGCTGGAGGCGCTGGCTCGCGGGTGTCAGGCGTGCGTCTCAAAGCGAGCTGAGCCGCCGCAGGCGACACGGCACCCGTGGGAGCCGACGGACGGCCCGTGGCAGCGGGTGCATGCCGATTTTGCCGGACCTCTGAAGGGCACCTGGTTCCTGGTGATGGTGGATAGTTTCTCCAAGTGGGCTGAAATGATCCCAATGAAGACGACCACGTCCGAGCGGACCGTAGCGGTGATGAGGACGGTTTTTGCTCGTCTCGGACTACCACTGGTGCTGGTAACGGACAATGGCCCACAGTTCACGAGCCAGGAATTCGCCCAGTTCGCCAGCTCTAACGGGATCCGACATGTCAGAGTGGCGCCCCATCACCCATCGTCTAATGGGATGGCGGAGCGAGCGGTCGGCTCGCTAAAAAACTCACTGAAGGCGACTCTGGCAGCAGACGACAGCGGAGGCATGGAACTGGCGCTCGCCCGAGTTCTGATGGCGTACAGAGTGACGCCCCACGCCGCGACCGCACGGACTCCCGCTGAGATGCTGTTCGGGCGGAACCTCCGCACTCGTATGAACCTCATGGTTCCGAGCGCCGAGACAGCTCTGCAGGCGGCTCGGGACCGGCAGCGTGAGACGGCCGGCGGACGGAGCAGGGAATTCGCCGTGGGAGCTACAGTGTGGGCCCGCTCGTATGACGGTCGTCAGAAGTGGGTCCGCGGCACGGTGGTCGCCCGCCCCGGTCCCGTGTCGTATGAAGTGGACGTGGGACACGTGATCTGGTCGCGCCACGTTGACCAGCTGTTGGCGGCGGCGGCGGACCCAGGGAACAGCGCCGGCGGTGACGTCAGAGCGGCCACCGGCGGTAGTGTCCGAGCGGCGACCAGTGGTGACGTCAGAGCGACGACCGGCGGTGACGTCAGAGCGACGACCGGCGGTGACGTCAGAGCGACGACCGGCGGTGACGTCAGAGCGACGACCGGCGGTGACGTCAGAGCGACGACCGGCGGTGACCGGGCTGGTGGCGCCGGCGGCAGCGCCGGGCGCCCTGTCGGAGACGATCGCGCCAATGGCCTCGGTGACGGCAGCCGCGCCGGCGTCGCCGGTCAGGCCTGTGACCGGGGAGCAGTCGGCCTCGGCCGTGCCGGTGATCTCGGCGGCGGCGGGGATGCCGGTGACCCCGGTGGCTACGGCCGTGCTGGTGACCCCGGCGGCGGCGGTAGTGCCGGTGACCTCAGCGGCGGCGGTGATGCCGTCAGCAGCGGCGGTAGTGCCGGTGACCTCGGCGGCGGCGGTGATACCGGTGACCTCAGCGGCTACAGTCACACCGGCGGTGGCGGTGACGGCGGCGGCAGGGGCGGCGGGGACACTGAGGGCCCCTCGCAACGCCGTTCCGCTCGGCGCCGGAGGTGCCCGAGGCGACTGATCGCCGAGGTTTAAAATGTGTTTGTTTCCACGTTCCGACGCGTAATGTGTTTGTTTCCACGTTCCGACGCGTAATGTGTTTGTTTCCACGTTCCGACGCGTAATGTGTTTGTTTCCACGTTCCGACGCGTAATGTGTTTGTTTCCACGTTCCGACGCGTAATGTGTTTGTTTCCACGTTCCGGTTTAAAATGTGTTCCGTTTTAAGGGCGGCAGGTTAAAGTGAATGTGTTCCGTTTTAAGGGCGGCAGGGTGTGGTGTCGCGAGCTGCTCCCCCCCCTGCCCCGGGGCCTGGCGACGCCAGTTGCTCCCCCCTGCCCGGGGGCCTGGCGACGCCATTGGCGGCGCCGGCGCGCAGACGCGGGGTTCGTGAGCAGTCGGCCGCCGGCCCGCGCGGAGCGCGGTTGTGGTAGTAGCGATCGGTGTTTGGCGCTCTAGGAGGTTTAACGCAATGCGGCTTTGGTTGTGAATAAAGAGCTCACGCTATAACACCCCCCGTTCCGCCGCCTATGACAAAGTACAACAATGACTACAGTCACTCACGATTTTACCTGATTCCCGATTGACCTTGTTCGGCCTCTGTCAAATAATTGTTCGATTCAGGATACAATACCAAAGCAACTTGCCGAAGGGTTTCCGAACATAAAACATGCACAATTTACATAAACATACAATTTACATGTGCTCCCCCGCAGGCAGGCGGGGGAGCACAACCTTGTCATCAGGGGTGGCAAAGTGATTCAGCTGCCCCGACATGCTGCATCTTCAGCAGGCACTGATAGAGCACAGGTACCCGATTCAAACCCTGCTCATGGGATGGATAGACAGCAGCTGGCGAGACCTGTCGGACACTCTGGACGCTCTGGAATGCACAGCTGCTGTGCAGCCCACTCCTCCTGCCAGGGGGTCAGCCGGCTCTGGAACAAGTAACACCCACCAACAGGAGGACAGCTCTGCTGTGGTGGACACTCATCAGCCTGAAAACCAGAATGGCACTGCCAGAGAGCCAGTTCGGCAAGACTGACTAGATAAAGTAAATGGAGCCTGGAGCCAGAGGAAAAAGACCGTCAGAAATCTTCGTGTGCTCTATACAAACACAGACCAGTTCATAAATAAGAGGGACGAGCTAAGCATGAGGATTTGTGGAGAGGAGCCAGATGTGATGCTGCTCACTGAGACCCTTCCAAAAGCTCAGAGACTGCCTATTGCCCCATCACTGCTGCACATTCCAGGATACCTGTTATTCACCAACTTCAATCCAGGTATGATGGACCTGGGCAACTCTGGATTACGAGGTATCTGTGGTGTCGTGATACCGGCCCTCCCCCCCCCCCCCGGAAGCGGAGCTGAGCGCGCCCTTGCGGCGGCCAGCCGCCGCCGATCAGCCAGCTGGCCTTGAAAGTCAGTCGCCGGCCGCCGGCCGCGGAAGCAGGTGTGCGCGTACGACCACGCGTTGATAGAATACAGACTGCCCGTTGAGTCCCTAGTGTCGCACCGGGTTCGCGAGCGGACGACCGAGGCCACCACTGAAACGAAGGGGTGGCGATAGAACAAACTTGGCGACAAGGATCAGATGGCGGAACGGGAGGCTGGAAGCGAAGTGTGGATTTCAAGACCGGAAAATGGCGGCGGCTCGGGGAGTTCTACGGGCCGGAGTTCGCGGTGAGTCGGCAGCGCTCGGGTAAACGAGTGGCGGTGATCCGGCAAGCGAACTGGACAGTCAGTGACGGAGCCGAGGCGTGTGGTGTAAGCACGGGGATGCCGGCGGTCACGGTGATTGATGGGCGCCGGGCTGGTCGGCGGCGGCCATGTTGTAACGTTGTGTACGTCGCGGGGGCGTGCTAACGGATTCGGAGGGAAGTGTTTTGTAACGGAGTGCTTAGTGCTTAGTGTAGTAGCTAGTACTTTTTGTTTCTGCCTGCATTGCATTTCGCTCGCCAGTAGGGCCGTTATTTTTATTTCTCCCGATTTTGTGCGGCGAATTCGGCGCGGAAGTGAGCCTGGCGATAGCGGCTGACACTGAAGCCTCTGATTGGTCGACCGGATCAGCTGGCTGTGTCGGGCCCGCTGATTGGCTCAGGTGAGCGGAAGTAAGCCGTCCGGAGGTTCTGGCTGCGACGAGTCCGCTGGTTGGCCGGGGAAGCGCGCGGTAACCGCTCAGGCTCGGTTCGTTGGGCCTGGTCCGGCGGCCGCGGCGGACGATCAGCTGTTCAGCGCCCGGCAGCGGGATGGAGCTGCTGGGAATGCAGCCGATGGCGGCGGCACCGTACAAGCCGGGCAGCGATTTTGAAAAATGGCTGCGAGGGCTGGAACGTTATATGGTAGCTGTCAACGTACAAGGAACGGCACGACAATGCGCAATGTTGCTGCATCTGGTTGGCCCAGATATAGCGGACATAAGCGAGTCCCTGCCCGACGAGACGGAGGATGGTCAGGTCGACGAGTTCGTCCGTCTGAAAGGGAAACTGACTCGATACCTGGTTCCAGTAAGAAATGTTGTGGCAGAGCGGGGAAAATTTGAGAAAATGACAATGGAGGCTGATGAGAACCTGGAGGGTTTCCTGGGCAGGCTGCGCACTCAGGTGATGCGTTGCGGATATACGACAGCGGAAATCGACCAGCAGCTGCGAGACCGCTGCGTTCTGGGCAGCAGTGGCGAGCTGCAGCGGAGGCTGGTCCGGGAGGCAGCTCTGAAGGGAACCGACCTGACCCTTCAGGACATCAGGAAGACGGCTCGCGCGCATCAGGACGTGCTGGATTTGACGGCTCAGCTGGGGGGAGTGCCAGCGCCGGCAGCGATGGCCGCGGACACAGTTCAGGCGCTGCGGCTGTCGCAGCGACCGGAGACCGGCCGGCCGGCTGGGCACTCAGGCGCCTGTTTCCGGTGCGGGTCGACCGGACATTGGCAGCGCGACTGTCCAGCGGCCGGAGCCGTGCCGCGTGCACGCGACAGCCACCGTGCGCGCGACAGCCACCGTCCAGCTGGCCAAGCGGTCAGCGGCGGGCGCGTGGGAACGACCGGCGCACGAGGTCAGGCTGGCGCGCCGGACAGGACGAGCAGTGACGGCCCGGTCAGGCAGCGGCGGTGCTTTAAGTGTGGCTCCACCGGGCACCTGAAGGCGGCATGTCCGCAGCGGCGGGTGCGGCTGGTGGCTGCGGAGGAGGAGCAGACGGACGGCGACGGCGACGCGTGGCTGGTGAACACAGTCGAAGCCAGCGCCGCGGAGCCGGAAATGAAGACGGTGACGGTGAACGGCCAGCAGCTGGCCATGGTCGTGGACACGGGGAGCCCGGTGTCGCTGGTGAGCGCGGAGACAGCGCGGCAGCTGGGACTTCTGCAGCTGCTGGACCCATGTGACCTGCGCCTGACCTCGTTCACAGGTCAGGTCATTCCCTTGAGAGGGGAGGTGCTGGTCAGCGTCTCGGCGTCGGACAGATCCGCGACCCGTCTGCGGCTGGTGGTGACCGGTTTTGGACCCCACCGCCCGCTGATGGGACGCGAGTGGCTGCAGGCGCTTGATCTAATGACGTCACCGGCTCGGGTATGCCGCGTGCAGCCGGCGCGGACGCTCGAAGGCGTGCTGGAGAGGCACTCGGCGGTCTTCAACGAGGAGCTGGGACGCATCCCGATCAAGGTGGGACTGCGGCTGAAGTCAGACGCCAAGCCGGTGTACCGACGGGCGCGTCCGGTGCCGTTCGCCCTGCAGGAGGCGGTGGACCGCGAACTGGACCGGTGGGAGGAGCAGGGCGTGGCAGAGAAGGTGCCACCAGGGAGCGGCTGGGGGACACCGCTGGTGGTCATCCCGACGCAGAATGGCGTCCGCATCTGCGCAGACTACAGGCTGACTGTCAACCCTCAGCTGGAGCAGACCAAGTACCCGATGCGGACGGCCGATGAGCTGTTCTCCGGCGTCCGGGGGAAACGGTTTGCAAAGCTGGACTGCAGGAGCGCCTATCTGCAGGTGGAATTGGACGAGAACAGCAAGAATGCGACCACGGTGACGACACACAGAGGCGATTACAGGATGAACAGACTGCCGTATGGCATCTCTGTCTGTGGGGCACTGTACCAGTCCGTGATGGATCAGATCACGGCGGGACTGCCCGGCACTGTCAGCTACATGGACGATGTGCTGGTGTGGGCTGACACGGAGGAGGAGCTGCTGGAACGGCTGGACGCGACCCTGACTAGGATGGAGGAGAACGGCATCCGCCTGAGGCGAGAGAAGTGCAGCTTCAATGTGCCGGAGGTGACCTACCTCGGGTGGCGTCTGTCGGCGGACGCGCTCCGTCCGCTGGCAGGGAAGACGGAGTCGATCCTGCAGGCGCCAGACCCGGTGAACCAGCAGGCGCTGAAGTCGCTGATCGGCACGGTGAGCTACTATCAGCGGATCCTGCCGGGACTGGCTACCGTACTGACACCTCTGTATGCGCTGCTAAAGAAAGGAGTGAAGTGGCAGTGGACGGAGCAGTGCGCGGCGGCAGTGAAGAAGGTGAAGACAATGCTGTCGTCAGCCCCAGTGCTGGTGCGGTTCGATCCTGACCGACCGGTGCGGCTGGTGACGGACGCCAGTGAGACGGGACTCGGCGCGGTACTGATGCAGGTGACGGCTGATGGACTGGAGAAGCCGGTACAGTACGCGTCTCGTACTCTAACGCAGACTGAGCGGAAGTACGCGCAGGTAGAGAAGGAAGCTGCGGCCGTGTCATTCGGAATACGGCGCTTCCACCAGTACCTGATGGGCAGGCGGTTCACCCTGGTAGTGGACAACCGCACGCTGTCGCGGATCGTCAGCCCGGACAGGGATCTGCCCACCCTCGCGGCAGCTCGTATGCAGCGGTACGCGCTTCAACTGGCGGCGTATCAGTATGAAGTGGAGCTGCGGCGCTCCGGAGACATGAGAGCGGCGGACACGCTGTCCCGTCTGCCGGTGAGCAGTCCGGCGGAGGAGCGGGAGGCGGCGGAGGAAGAGGCTGAGTACGGCGGAGGAGGCGTCATGTTCGTCGTGCAGGAGCAGGGACCATGCCTCTCGGCCAGGGCTATCGCAGCGGCCACGCGCACGGATCCGGTGCTGGGTCGCGTACTGGCTGCGGTGCGGTCCGGCTGGCCGGGGATGATGGACGCCGAGCTGACGCCGTACAAGCATCGAGCGGACGAGCTGTCGACGGACGCAGACTGCGTGCTCTGGGGCGGCCGTGTGGTGGTGCCGAGGGCTTTGCAAGATCGTGTGAAGCAGCAGCTACACGAGGGACACAGCGGCTGCACGAAGATGAAGCAACTTGCTCGTCGGTTTGTCTGGTGGCCGGGGCTGGACGCTGAACTGGAGGCGCTCGCTCGGGGCTGTCCAGCCTGCGAGTCGAAGCGAGCGGCGCCGCCGCACGCGGAGCGGCACCCCTGGGAACCCGCTCAGGGACCCTGGCAGCGGGTGCATGCCGATTTTGCCGGACCTCTGAAGGGCACCTGGTTCCTGGTGATGGTGGATAGTTTCTCCAAGTGGGCTGAAATGATCCCAATGAAGACGACCACGTCCGAGCGGACCGTAGCGGTGATGAGGACGGTTTTTGCTCGTCTCGGACTACCGCTGGTGCTGGTAACGGACAATGGCCCACAGTTCACGAGCCAGGAATTCGCCCAGTTCGCCAGCTCTAACGGGATCCGACATGTCAGAGTGGCGCCCCATCACCCATCGTCTAATGGGATGGCGGAGCGAGCGGTCGGCTCGCTAAAAAACTCACTGAAGGCGACTCTGGCAGCAGACGACAGCGGAGGCATGGAACTGGCGCTCGCCCGAGTTCTGATGGCGTACAGGGCCACACCGCATGCCAGCACGGGACGGACCCCAGCGGAGGTGCTGTTGGGCCGCAACATCCGCACGCGGCTGAATCTGCTCGTTCCGACCGCCGAGGACGCGCTGCGGGACAGCGCGGAGCGACAGCAGACGGCAGCCGGCGGACGCGCCAGAGCGTTTGCGGTCGGCGCCGACGTCTGGGTTCGCTGCTACTCCGGGCCACAGAAGTGGGTGCGCGGTCGGATCGTCACACGCACTGGGCCCGTTTCCTACGAAGTCGACGTCGGTAGAGGCGGGTCGTGGTCACGGCACTGTGATCAGCTGTTGTCGGCCGCCGCTGACAGCACGGCGCCTGCCGAGGACCGCGGCAGAGCGGACGCGGCAGCACTCGCGTCCGATCGCTACTGGCCGCCCTCCGTCGGTCGAGACGGAGGGGAGGGCAGCGGCGTCAGCAGCAGCGGCGCGATCAGCCGGAGCAACGGTGCTTCTCAGCCGGAGCGGGCTCGCGTGATCGGCGCTGGAGCGGAGCGGCCTTCCGGCACAGCAGCCGAGAGGCCGGCGGGAGCCGCAGCGTCGGACTCACCTGAGGCCAGAGCTGCAGCGGGCACGGACGGCGCCGCAGCCGGGAGGTCAGCCGGCGCCGGGGCGGCACACTGGACCGGTGCCGCGCCCGCAGCGGACAGCGCCGGTGGGTCCCGGGACGGAACGGCGGCAGAGGAGCCCAGCCGCGGACCGACCCGAGATGGGACGACAGCAGAGCGCGCGGCGCTGAACGAGTCGGCCGCGGCGCGGCCTGGAGTGACGGCGGGACCAGCGGGTCGAGCGGATCGCCACGCTGAGTTAACTGTGCCGCGTCACTCGACGCGCCGAGCGGCTCCTCCGAGGCGCTACATTGAAGAACTATAGCGTGTGTTCGATTCGATTCGATTCGATTCTCGATTGTTCGATTCGCGTCTTTGTTCGATTCGCGTCTTTCTGTCCTGTCCTGTTAGACTGGAGATCGCCGGAGATCACGCGTTCATTGTGTTTATGTTTCATATCTTTGGCGGTTAGATCGGTGTTTGTGATCTAGTGACGGGGGGTGAGGTGTGGTGTCGTGATACCGGCCCTCCCCCCCCCGGAAGCGGAGCTGAGCGCGCCCTTGCGGCGGCCAGCCGCCGCCGATCAGCCAGCTGGCCTTGAAAGTCAGTCGCCGGCCGCCGGCCGCGGAAGCAGGTGTGCGCGTACGACCACGCGTTGATAGAATACAGACTGCCCGTTGAGTCCCTAGTGTCGCACCGGGTTCGCGAGCGGACGACCGAGGCCACCACTGAAACGAAGGGGTGGCGATAGAACAGTATCTGTGTGTATGTAGTACAGCATCTGAGCGTCTCTGAGGTAGTCTTTGACAAATCAATGATTGAAGATGTTTGGGTTGGATTGAAGCTACAAGGAACAGATCACTTGTTGATAGGCTGCATCTACCGAAGTCCGTCTGGATCCCAAGAAGAAAGCATTGAAAAGCTGGAGCAGCTGATTCACCAAGCAGCTGTAGCCCCCTTCTCACACCTTGTCATCGTTGGTGACTTCAATCTTCCCATGGCATTGACTGGGACACTGGTGCATCTACTTCAGCCACGCACTCCTTTGTAGAGACGATCCAGGATTGTTACCTGTTCCAACATGTTACCCAGCCCACACGTTACTGCTTGGAGAGAGGCCAAGTACTCTGGACTTAGTCTTTACCAATGAGGAGGGTATGGTTCGCAACCTTGAGTATGGCCCTGCCCTGGGTAGAAGTGATCATGTAATCCTTACCTTCACATTGATGTGCTACGCACCTGCGCCATCCTCGCTGCCACGCATGTATTCTCGCACCAACTATCGTTCACTGAGTAATGCGCTTGAATCGTGCAACTGGGCGGTGATGAGGAACATGACTACTCATGAAGCTCACCAGGGGCGTCGACACCGGTCCGACTTTTCCGACTAGTCGGACCACTTTTTCGACTAGGCGGTGCCCTGCTGTGGCTCGCGGGGGCCCCTGCTGCAGACCGCGGGGGCCCTACTGCGGCTCGGGGGGCCCTGCTAGAGACCGCGGGGGCCCTGCTGCGCCTCGACACCTGGGGGCCCTCACCGGTGGGGGCCCCCCGAGAAAAAGTCGGACCAGTTTTCCTTACGCGTCGACGCCCCTGAAGCTCACACCTTCTTTAGTTCGTCAATCTGTGCAGCCATTGAGTCATGCTCCAGCATCAGAAAGAAGGCCTCTGAACACAACATATATATGAATCGCCATGCCCTCCAACTGAGGAAAAGGAAAAGGCTATTGTGGAGCACTTACTGCCGAAGCCACGATGAACTCGATCACGCCAGGTACGTCATGTGTCGTAACGACCTGAGGAACATGACCAGAGCCCTCCGGAGACAACATGAGCAAAAGCTGGTACTGTCAATCAAAGATAACCCGAAGTGCTTCTGGCGGTACGCAAATTCACGCCTCAAGACCAAAAACGGCATCGGCGACCTAGAAGACGAGAATGGAGAAACGGTGTCTTCTGACAAGGCAAAAGCTAACGCCATGAACAGATACTTCAGTAGCGTCTTCGTCAAAGAAGCGTCAGACACCATCCCTGTCCTGGAGCGCCCTCATCACGGACCGCTTCTGGAGGACGTCGAAATCTCCCCGCTACGGGTACACACCAAGCTGGCAGCGCTGCGAGCATACAGCTCACCAGGACCCGATGGCCTTCACCCTCGCGTACTGAAGGAGAATGCAGCCGTCCTCTCCCACCCACTGAGCTGGATCTTCAGGAAATCGCTGGACTCCGGGGATGTCCCCCCAGAGTGGAAGATCGGCAACGTGACTCCGATATTCAAGAAAGGAGATCGCCGCCTGCCATCCAGCTACAGACCGGTCAGCCTGACATCCGTCTGTTGCAAGGTCCTCGAATCTGTCATCAGGGATGAGCTCCTGCACCATATGTCAGCGAACGGCCTGCTTCACAGATCTCAGCATGGTTTCCTGGCGAAGCGTTCGTGTAGCTCCCAATTGCTTGAGGCACTCGAAGACTGGACCGCTGCCTTGGAACACCGAACCCCGGTGGATGTGGTCTACCTAGATTTCGCTAAAGCTTTTGACTCGGTGCCGCACAAACGTCTCCTCGAGAAGCTGAGGTCGTATGGTGTCGGAGGTAAACTTCTCACCTGGATACAGGCCTTCCTAGTTGGCCGTCGTCAACGGGTGCTGATTCAGGGCTGCACCTCGGAGTGGGCACCAGTCTCCAGCGGTATCCCCCAAGGTTCAGTGTTGGGACCGACGCTGTTCACATATACGTCAACGACATGCCACTAGAAGTCTCAAGCAATATGAAGATGTTCGCGGATGACACGAAGCTATATAAGCCACTGACAAATCCATCCGAACGTGGTGCTGGTCTGCAGGGTGATCTGGACGCTCTGGCACGATGGTCCTCAAGGTGGCTGCTGCCGTTCAACGCAGGAAAGTGTAAGGTGATGCACATGGGCTCAAGAAACCCTGCACACGAATACTGGCTAAACGGGACGCCCATCGCCGTGGTAGACGAAGAAAGGGATCTGGGGATCATAATCGACTCTGAGCTGAAGTTTCACTCCCAAACGGCCGCGGCCGTTTCAAAAGCCTCGCAGCTGCTCGCGGTCATCAAGCGATCCTTCGCTCACATCGATGAGACGACCCTACCCTTGCTCTACAAGGCTCTCGTCCGCCACTTTCTGGAGTTTGGGAACGCCGTCTGGGCACCGTTCAGCAAAGGAGACCAGAAACGCTTAGAAAAGGTCCAGAGACGCGCCACGCGTATGGTGGAATCCATCAAGCACCTTCCCTACCCCGAGCGTCTGAAGCGTCTCCGACTACCGTCGTTGCTCTACCGCCGCCGCAGGGGAGACATGCTGACGGTCTACCAGCTGTTCAACGGTGGAATCGATGTGCCGCCAACGACCTTCTTCACCAAGAACGAGACCGAGCTGACGAGAGGACACGGATGGAAGCTGATCAAACCCCGAGCTGTGACTCTCGCCCGACGACGCAGCTTCAGCGTCCGCATCATCAACGACTGGAACGCTCTACCTGCTGAGGTCGTATCGGCCGAAACACTCTCGACATTCAAGGCACGACTTGACCATCACTGGACCCACCTAATGTATGTCATGCCACAAACTTACGAGTCCTGAATGTCTCCCCAAGTAACTCGGTGAGAACGGGACCTATAGGCCAAGTGGCCTTTTCTATCCCGATGACCTTCAAGGTAAGGTAAGGTAAGGTAAGGATAATTTTTGACTCAATTCGTAATTCGATCTATATATTATTCCTTTGGAGTTCCATAATCACGTCTTAGCCCTTAGGTTTTTTATTGAGACCGAAATGGTATCTCCAACTAACATCGATGAAACAGTAAAACTATTTAGCAACAGTTTCCCTAGTATGTCAACACAACTATGACGCACGAAGCGGAATTGATTATATTTCTTTGGTTGCGTCTAAATATTTGATGTATTTGTAGCCCTCTATAAAAAATAAACCTAATTTTAAGTTTAATTTGCTTATTGCTTCCTAAATTTGATTAAAAAAGTCCATAAAATTTGTTTAAATGTAACAATATATCAAAATTTCCTATAAAATCACCTATTGAAAGCAAAAACAAGTAAAAAGGGAGAAGTATTTAAGATGTCCGCAAGTGTCGCTAGCTGTAAATGATGTGATAAACATTGAGCCATGAATGAAATGCGTATTTGCGTTTTGTATTTATGCCGTCTTCTAGACGATTGAAAATTTGAAATTATTTTTGTATTTACTGGGCGATTTCTTTTCAATAATTTCAGTGCTGCATGGATTGCCATCCTGCATATTTGACATAATCTGTGACATGATATTAATGACGTGCTTGGATTATAAATTTCGGTGAGTATAAGTCGGAAGATAGATTCTCTCCAGTTCAAGTTTCTGCTTTCCTTCGCATTATTCCAATTTTAGTGTCGTCTCAGCACCAGTTTTCATCAAACAAAGAAAATGAGGAAAGGTACTTAATTATTAACAACTATTGCAAGATTATTATCTGTAACTGAACAATCTGAAGCTGGTACCATGGCATAAATAAAGGCCTAATGTATACATGATCTCGATTGAAGTGCGTGTTTAGCCCAAAAGTTAGCTTAAATGCATGGCCATCCAGGAAATTGAGCTGTTGTAGTTGGTGAGGTTGTTTGGCCAGTGCTTGCACCTTGCAGGTCAGTCCGCAAAGTATCAGTATGGCAATTTCAATGAGATCTCGTCGGTGCGGGCTTGTTTGGCTGGTGTGGATTTGGTGCCATGCAGTGCGGATTTGGCTTAGTGTTTTGCAGAATTAGTTAAGTGTGGTGCAGGATTCAGTCGGGCGCACTGCGATAATTCCGGTCCATTTATAGAAACGTTGCTATATTTAGAAACGTTTCCAAATATAGAAACGCTGTGTTCCATAAATGGAAACGCTCAGAAGCACCGATCATTTCGGCCGATTTATTTTAAAGTAAGATGCGTTATATAACTTTCTAGATGGTGGAAATCCATGTAGTGGCAACAACGAAGCACTCAGGTGAAAATGACACGTCAATTTCGCCAAAACTTAAAATATCTATTTAGCCCAAATTAGCCAATATTCTGCCAAAAATAAGCCCAAATCAGGTTCTGGACATCATATTTGAAGGGAAACCTTAATGGAAGTTTTTCTCTTAGTTGCAATTTCTTCTACATTTTACACAAACCGGAAATCAAATCGGCGTCATTACCATGGCCCACCATGGATTTCTTCGGGCCTCCTTGCGATTATAAACTCAAATGTTGGCTTGTCACTGGTGGTAACCGTTTTGTGCGAAATTTCGCCAGAGCTTGCGAAGATCGTCAAACAGGTGAGCGTGCACCTACCGTTTCCAAATATAGAAACGCAGCGTTTCCATATTTGGAACAAGCGTTTCTATATATGGAACATCGTTTCCAAATATAGAAACGTTTCTATATATGGAACGGAATTACCACAGTGTGCCCGACTGGATTGGCTTAGTGATGGACATGAACAGATCAGATGAGATAGATGAGGCAACTTGAAAAACATTGTTGGAGCATTGACATCATGATGTAACTTATGTCTCGGTGTGGTCTTGGGTCTAAATGAGTGTGCAGTGGTCAAAACGGACTGCCAGTGCTGGCGGTCCCATCAAGCACATGGGTTGCTGGCAAGTTCGCACTCTTTGCACTGTTACAGGCTCTGCGAGGCGCCGGTGGTAGAGTAAGAGGGATGAGCCAGTCCCA